GGGGGGGGTCGATGTTTCTCCCCCGAGTTTTGCATTTCTCATTCGCTCCGTTTTCTCGTTCCTTTTTCGCAGTTTAAATTCTGTAACGCGGGGAAGAAACAAGCTGCTTTCGAAGATGGGGCATTTTGTTTCTGCGCTGTAGTTTTCACACTGCTAATGTCATTTTCACTAAGATTAAACAAAAACAAACAGAGGATTTAGTGTTTTTAAAAGGAGATATCGATTCTATATCAAATCAGTGTTTGTGGTTCGTTGCAGTATTGAATTTGTTCCATTAACGAGCGACCTCCTCACATTTTAGAAAGCTGCATTTCAGTTTTAAAAGGCCTATGGAAGCTCGAGCAGTGAATAAAGAAAAATCCAAATGGCAACCAAAGGCAAACAGAGCTGCAGAAAATTGACTTTTAACAACTTGAGTCAATTGTTAATCCCAAGAACAGCTATAGATATAGATGTTTTAACATTTTCTGCCCTTAAAAAATGCTTCTTTAGACTGCTGTAAAACCAGAAGAAAGTCTCATAACTTAGAATTTTGTATGCTCTGTGGCTCCAGTCCAGGCTGAGTTAGGGTCTGAATCCACATCTGAAAAGATGTGTTGGCAGAGCTATGCCGGCACCCTTACACTGCCCAACTGTTCTTATGGTTGGGACAGAGGAGAGAAAAGGGGTAGGAGGAAGGGAAGGACACATGCTGGCATAATCTATATTAGTTCAAAGAGCAAAATGGCTCTGTGTAATTCCACCTATTTAAATAAAAATCTTCCTATGGAAACATTTAACTCCCCTCCTTCATTTACTCCTGGCACTTCTATCCAGATAAAAACATGCTAAAAACAACAACAAAAACAACCCCCCCCAACCAATTCCCCCACTCATCTCCTCTTCGTTAAAAATCTGTTCTTTAGAATCTGCACTGTCAAATGTTTCTCCAAACATTGCTCAGGGCAACATTGTGAATCTTACTTTAAAACACATAACCAAGAAATTCACCCTTCAGAAAGAAGAAACCAGAAGGATGTTGGAAGTGAATATGTGTTGCTTGGGTGCTGAGAGAAGCATTTTTAAGAATTTGGGTATTACCTCTTCAAATATGGCTGGGGAAAATAAAAAATGGCTATCCTGAAGCACTGAATCAATCCTAGTGGGGCTCTGCAAAATCTAAAAGCTGTCATACCCGTCATACTTTCACAACAATGCTATATAAGTGTAATATATTCTGGATTTTTGTGCTGGGGTGGAAGTTTTAATTTGAATGTGAGGAAAATAGTACAAGCCCAAGATACTGTCCCAAAGGACCTACTTGTCCTGAAATGATGACAACAGTTAAAACTGTATCCTAAATACGAAGAAAGAGAAGGGGTACCAAACACAATGGCAAGGAAGCTGCTCATCTCAAGTATAGTCTTAGAGAGTCAAACATTTACCTACAGTCGTTAGTAATGCTCAAGCGCTGTCCATTAGATACGTATTTTTATGTAGTTTTGAAGAGTCTCCCAAATCATGGCTGGAAATAGAAGAAGGGAAAGATGATATAGTCAATAAATATGCTGTAAAACAAGGTTTCTTTCAGGCGCCAGGTCACAGCGGCTGTATGAACTGTGAGCAGGCAGTGCTGCTCAGTGCGGGTTTGCTGGGTCCAGAATGACTGTTGGGCTTCTGTCCCCTCCTTAGTCCACCACGGGCTACTGTATGCCATGTAGGCCTGGTAAAAATATATTTGTCATATTACATGATTAGACATGTTTTTTCACTGGTGTACAAACGAGCATGAAGTCCAACAAACTTCATGACTTGTAATTCTCTTAACTTTGGTAGGATCCCAGCTCAGGACACCCTGGTAGCGTGTATGTTGTGAGCTTCACCTTATGCTGCTGCCTATGGCTGAGCTCATTTTCTCTCTGAGCAGCCTGTGGGACTCCCAGCCCCAAAGCAGGGCAAGGCCATACATAGCATGACCTTCTTGGTTTCCAAGCCTGTGTTGGACTGGAAGCAAAAAAATTTTGTGCACGGTACTTTGCATAGCTAGAATGTAGTCAAAACCATATGACTTACTGGAGTGGCTTCTTGGCTTGAGAAGTGGGTGACAGAGGATTTGTTATTATTTTCACACCTCTCAATTCATACAAAAGCAAAATGTTCAGGCTCGCAGAAGACTGGGGACTCAAGCTTTACAAACATTTACATGTGGCCACAAATCCTGGCCTTGCAGATGTCTGTGCCAAGGCATTTTGGCAGGCTGTCAACATTGTCCTGCAGAACGTAAATGAGGGATGGGAAACAGATGGATTATA